GGTTTTGACGGTGCGGTTTTGTCACCACGCTTTAGTCACACGCGCTTTAGTCTACCGCGGTTTTGTGGTGGAACCTTTGCCGGGACTAGGAATCTGCTTCCTGCTTTTTGGGGAAGCTTAGATGAAAACACTTAGCAGCAGAAAGGTTGGGCTACAATTGTAGTGGTTGGAAGTTGAGGACCACTCTCCCTTAACCAAAATGTTCTGTATATAGACCAACTAGTAAGCCCAATCATAATTAATTCGCTTGGCAAACACATTGTTGATATTCTTGGCGAGCCCCACGCCAGGATCCCTCTTGAGTTCAGACTGAGCCAGCTTCAACTCCTCGTGTTTTGTGGCCTTTGAAACTCTTCCAAAGTAAGTGCTGCCGAATTTGTCTGTGATTACTAACAGAGTTTTGATCCACAGATGTTCAGCCCAACCTCTGCCTTGTGATTAATTAAGAAGGAAGATATTTATGGAGAAAGGCATGAAGCATGCTGTTCCTGAATGGTCCACCCTGGTTGAAATTTCACACCCAGTAAATCACTAATGAAAATGTCATTCCCCTGCTGAGTTTACCTGAGCCTCTATTAATCTTGCCGTTTCCATTAGAAACAGAATTACTGTCAGATTTACAACAATAGGTGGTGGGGGGGAAAGCATGTGTATTTAAATAATTATACTGTAAAGCAAAGGAACTTTTTAAATGTTTGTTGGAGTCCTTGGTGGTCTCAGAGCTTGGTTGTTTTCTTGCAGACATTTCATTACCCAACGAAGTAACATCATCAAGGTTAGAAGGGTAGTGAGGCATAAAACTCCCGTCTTCTGATTGGCAAAAGATGGACACCCCTGTTCTAGACTGTTGGGAAAACAGGAAAAACAGACCCTGAGGTCAGCTAGGCTTTTGAGAAGGGCAAACAAGTGTTTTGGGAGGAGGCTCCAGATATGTGGGATATCTGCGATAAAGAGTGAGAGTTGGTTCCTGTAGCAGAAGACTTTCAAAGGGCTGATGGTGGAAGATCTGGGTTGGGTGAACCGGGAAGATAGGGAACTACTGGCATATGTGTTTGTACAGTGGTGAAATTCAATTTTTTTTACCACTGGTTCTGTTGGCGTGGTATGGCTTGGTGGGAGTGGTGTGGTGGGCATGGTGGGGGAAAGATACTGCAAACTTTCCATTCCCACCTCACTCTGGGGCCAGCCAGAGGTGGCATTTGCCGGTTCTCCGAACTACTCAAAATTTCTGCTACCGGTTCTCCGAACTACTCAAAATTTCNTGAGGTGCAGGAGGCAGCGAGCGTGGTCACCTCATGGCTGCTGCTGTGTTGCAATATTTTTGGGGAGGGCTTATTTTCAGGGGAGGGCTTATTTTAACGCATGTGCTCCAAAGCCTGATTGGGCTTATTATCCAGGGAGGTCTTATTTTCAGGAAAACAAAATCACCTGTTTTTCTAAAAATCACCGTAAGACTTTTCTGGGATAGGATATTTGAATACAAAGGCAGATTCTGCTTGTTTATTCTATTATTTTTCCGTGGTGGATGGATACTTTTTCTCTGGAAGAGTTTTGAGCGAAACAACAACGGAAATCAAAAGAAACAATGAACCACAGAAATCAAAAGAAACAATTTTTCCCTATTCAAACAAGCCCACTGCTGTTTTCAAAGCAAGGACACCAGCGTGCCAAGATTACATTCAGAACATTTTTGTTCTACATTGTTTATTTTCGAAAAAGAAAAAAAAATGTGGTGGTGGTAGTGGGACATGTTTTGTTTATTTTAGGAAGCTAAGAAAGTTAATGATTTCCTAAATGGACTTCAGAATCCCCTCACTTCAGGACACCAATTTTTCTTGCAACTTTATGCCCATGATACCATATCTGTTGCCGAACGATAGCCCAGGTAAGCTTATTTCTACTTCTTCTTGGATATTGTACAATCTGCGGATCACTACTGGACTTCTTCTGAAGATTTCTATAGATAGGAATTGTGTATGCTGACTAAACTAACATGTTGATCCTGGCCTTTCATTAATGGATTCTGTTGAAATGCCCTTAGTCTTCTCATCGGTCCTATCACCCATCTCCTCCCACCTATGACTGCAAGACTGTAACTTTGTTGCTTGTATCCTTACGATTTATATTGATATTGATTGTTTCCTGATTGCTTATTTGTAGCCTATGACTTTCATTAAGTGTTATACCTTATGATTCCATGACCTGTCAAAACCGCGGTCCACTAAAGCGCGCCCGATTAAAGCGCGTACCTGACGTCATCAGNAGAAGAAGAAGAAGAAGAAGAAGAAGAAGAAGAAGAAGAAGAAGAAAAGAGAGAGAAAGAGAAAGAGAAAGGAGGGAAGGAGGAAAAGAAAGAGTGGTTAGAGAAGGAGGAAGGGTGAGAAGAAGAAGAAAAAGAAGAGGAGGAAGAAGGGAGGGGGAGGAAGGAGGAGGGGAAGGAGGAAGAAAAGAGAGAAAGAGAAAGGAGGGAAGGAGGAAAAGAAAGAGTGGTTAGAGAAGGAGGAAGGGTGAGAAGAAGAAGAAAAAAAGAGGAGGAAGAAGGGAGGAGGAGGAAGGAGGAGGGGAAGGAGGAAGAAAAGAGAGAGAAAGAGAAAGGAGGGAAGGAGGAAAAGAAAGAAAAGAAAGAAGAAAGGGAAGAAAGAAAAAGAAAGAAGAAAGAAAGAAAGAAAGAAAAAGAAAGAAAGAAAGAAAGAAAGAAAGAAAGAAGGTCTATTTCCTTCTTTGAGTGTCTCTCATGGCTGTTTCATTCCCACCATCATAAAGATGCAAGAGGTAAACCTTGATTTTGTGCTCTCTAACTTTCCATTTCTTAAATCCCCCCTCCACCTCATTTCTTCCTTCCTTCCATCGAGAAGAAAACTTATACCCGGATCGCTCTTATTTTCTATCTAACAGAAAGCAAAGGCTTCTATTTTCACTCCCTAATTAGCCGTAGCAGAAGGCCCAGATACCGGGTAGTTTGGCCAACAGCCTAAATTTTCTACAATATGAACATCCCATGTTAACTGAGGGTTGGCCTAATTTCCCGGCGATGGTTCCTGGTCAATTTTGTCTATGCTTTCCTTCCTTCTGGGCAAAAATTCCTTAAATGACTTAAGTAGGACCTTCAGCCTTCTCATGTTTTCCTTCTGTGGAGCCTATGGGACGGCAAGATCGATCCTATCCCTTAGATCAGGGGTGTCCAAACTTGGAAACTTTAAGACTTGTGGACTTCAACCCCCCAGAATTCCCCAGCCAGCATATCCACAAGTCTTAAAGTTCCCAAGTTTGGACATCCTTGCCCTAGATTAATGATAAACTTGAGTATCTGATGGTGAACACTAATGAGATAATTCAGTAGAGATGTTAAGCAACTTCATTGTCCTGGAATTGACCCCCAATTTTTAATTAACTCCTGGCACAGAAGGGCTTGGATAAGCCAGCTCTGCCTTTTGACTCTTGCTAGCTGCGAAGATAACAAACCTCCTACTCTAACCACAAAGAGTTAGTTATTCTCTCTTTGGTCATAGCAGGTGTTTAACCTTACTTAAAATGTAACCTTCTACTTCCCTAGTAGATCCCTAAGCGAAGCCCCTCTGGAGGGGAAAGGAAGGATGCAAGGCTATAAAAATTGCCCAACGCACAACCCCTTTTGTGAGTTGAATTCCGGAAACGTTATCATTTGGGCTGACTCTGTAGATTAGGAAGGGAGTCCTGGTGTTGCGAGGAATTAATTAATTGGGCAATCTAAATAAACACGATGTTCTGCTTCTTTGAGTCACAGCACTTTCTTTAACATTCTCCTGCTTTTGCAGCCGTCCTGCAAAATTTGAAATTAGAGGGTAACACAAGAATTTCAGAAAACCTTGTTCTATGCTTTTTAAGCTTCTTTATTTCTCTCCTGGGGGAGGATATTAACAGATTAACTAAGTTGGAAGGGACCTTGTAGGTCATCTATCCCAACCCCACCCCTTCCCCCCTGCCCAAGCATGAAACCTTACACCAATGATGGCTAACCTTTTTGTTGTTGGGTGCTAGACTGCCCTGCTAAGGCCTTGGCCTGGAATAGATAGGAAGTAGCAAGAGTGGACAAAATAGTGTCCGTGTTCTCGTTTTTCTACTGTGTTTCCCCGAAAATAAGACTTGGCCTTATTTTTGGGGAGGTCTTATTCAAAGGTAAGTTGCAAATCCCAGGACTACTGGTTTATTTGTGCTCATGTGTGATGTTTCTGTGCATGCGCAGACGTGTCTAGGCGGGTGGGCAGAGCCTCCTGCCACCACCACTACCCTGAATCGGGCCAAACTGGGAGCAACCCACCTCTGGTCTTATTATTTATTATAGAGCCGAGGTGGCGCAGTGGTTAGGGTGCAGTACTGCAGGCCACTTCAGCAGACTGTGATCTGCAGTTCAGCGGTTCAAATCTCACCGGCTCAAGGTC